ACGGCCAGTCTTACTGAGTATTGTGTTAGATAAGGGCTCGTCTAATTAACTAAAGCTATTCTACATCGGAATAACAAAGTTGTTGGGCGTGATTGTTTATTCAAGTTACGGTAGGAGAATATACGCACATGGCCGAAGTATTAGTGTTATTCGTCACTGAATCATTGATGTCAAAATATATTCACCATAATATACAAGAACCTTTTCTAAGTTGTTAACCACACTCCAGGGTTAATCTTCAATTTTTACCAAGATTACACCCGATTACTATATGCATTTCCATACACGACAGGCTTATATTGCGAGTAACATGGTTCATAGAACTTTCATAATAGAGATAATTGTTTCCGTGTTTTTTTGTTTTGTTTTTTGTAAAATCAATCTACAAAATATCTAATTACAGATACATAATACTGATTCAAATTTGTTGTTGGTGACATGGTACGTTATTACACGTCAAATTATTCATATGGATAAATATGGCCAAGTGTTTACGTTATCCCATCGGTAGTCATTTTATTGCCATTATTTATCAATATTGTTTTACATGACAGGGGATATTTCTCGTTATGGGATCATTGAAAGCTCATCTGTTTTGTTTATTCCGTTTAGTTTGCTTAGAATCACTATTTAAACAAGTTGAACAGAATCATGAATACATTTTGTACATGGAATAACAAATAGAAAGAATCGTCCGGTGATCACTGTGTCGTCTCCAAGGTTACAGTTGTGACGAAGCATTTATAGAAGGCGGAATTTGATACGTCAAACAGAATCCACAAACAAACAAGATCCTCTCTGATTGGTCTGACTGTTAGGATTGAGTAGCCAATCAGATACAATCTTATAAGTAGCTTCGTATTGACTTCAAATATGAGCTTATCGCAATCTTACAATGGTAGTCATATATTTCAAAGATCACAATTACTGAGAACGTTTTTTTTTTTTCGAAATTGTATAGATGCCTTTTTTTAAACCCGTACTTAATCATTCTATTTATTTCGCTGGTTCCCGTCGTCCCTTGCGAATGGCAAGTAGTACGCAGGTAACTAGTAATTGCCATTTTGTTCCACTTGGCCGTGATTCCGGCCCAAAATCACTTGACTACGTGACGTAATTTGAATATTCGTTTTCTGTAAACAAGTCTGAAGACTTGCCCATCATTCTGACTGGTCAGACTTACATATTTAAGATGTTCCTTGCATTTATCGCTGTTTCTGTGCAAATTTATACCAAAAGAAACAGGTTTTTATTCGCCAGACCTTCGAGAGTAAAAGGAACCCCCTGCTTTCCGGCCCGAGTCTAAACGCTGACGCCAAGCAACTAGAAAGTGACTGACCAATCAGAATGCCGTAACCGTTAGTAGTTACCGGCCTCTTGTGGCTTTGTGCGTCATGACACTTGAGGCGGGATGTTTCAAGCATTTCCATGAAGTGTGAATGAAATATTACATTTACGAACACTTACATACCGACTATCTTCGTATGAGAAGTCAAGCTTCCTGATAATGAATAAAACGACATCGGAAGCATTAATACCAGCCTGATTGTTACACAAATCTAGTAAATGGAGATAAACACCAACAAATACCAAGCACGTATATTTTCTGTATTAGTAGTGATGTGTTGTGCCTAATTCCATTGCGAACTGTTGTGTAATATACTTACGTCTTATTCTCCGCCGTTAGAAATTCAACCGAAATGAACTCACCTTTGTGCAAAGAAAAAATATTAATCAGACAAGTATTATCCGAGAATTCAAAGGAGTGTATAAATCTCACGCAGAATTGTGAGGGCGCCACCCAGCTATAATTTAAGGTAAAACTACAGTCCCTTTAAAAGAACTTTGGTAAAACTAACCATAACTTTATGAACGCATTCTAGCATGGCGATAGTCTCAGGGTGCACCTCGCATATTAAACGTCATTTTTCATAGTGTGAAAAACAGAACAGCGTTGCACTGTGGTATGTAAAGTTTCTATGACAGAATCAATAAAATACGGTGTATAAAGCGATTTTAATTAAAATACGTATAGCAAATAATTACGAAGATTCATCTATTAACACAGTTTCGTATTCGACGACATTTTTCTTCTCTTTGGTTGTATTCTTTTTCTTGTTTGATTTTAGTTCCATGTTTTCGCACTACTTCTGTACCATTATGTACGTCCTTAGATTCATCTCCCGAGTTTGTTGACAATTCGTCCAACACTTCGTCATTGACCTTCGGTTCTATGCGCAGACATAATTGAAAATTATCAATCATATAGTATTGACGATACAGAATAAGTAATAAATATATTTATATTGTCAAATATTAGTATAACATAATTAACGATAACCCGTGCTTACCAAAAACACGTATACATTTTTCGTCACAAAATATAGGTGGCAAGTCGTTATTCCTAATTTACCGGCGTCTTCTCTACAAATTCTACACTCAATTTACTGAATAGAACGACGAGTTTACTTGCATTACTAAACATTTGTAGAGAGAACATGATGTGTAATGACAGTCGCACGTCATCCGTGATATTATCAAAGTAATTACTGTGTCTAAAAATACTGTGCTTCGCTGTACAAGTAATACTCAAATTATTTCCAAACGGACGTTTTAAACGTGTACTGAATAAAGATTCAATCTCAATGACTGACGCAGTTTAGGTCATAACTATGCTTGGGGCAAGTATGAGCTTCTTTCAACAAACATTGTGTCTGCAAAAACAACATTGCTTACAGCAAGTTCCAGAAGTATTGGAGCAGCCAATTTGCAAACTCGCTAGCGAATTGGCTAACTGCTTTGGTTTTGACTATACGGTTGGCTTTCGAATCTCGCTAGCGCCGTCTTGCGGTAACGCCCACGAATCTATGTAACAGTGGGGAAACGATCCTCATACTTTAGAAGCTAATCAGCGACGGTCTTACAGTTGGATGGCGATTTTGCTTTGAAAAAACACCAGGAAAAGCGTTATATGCTCTTAGTGTACACACAAAAACGACGAATGAGGTCGATTTTTTTCAGCGGTTGGCTTAATGTTACCCCAACGGATCGTCTGAGTGTGAAAGTTTGTTATTTTCTCCCTGATTTGTAGGAAACTGTTTCTCAACTTGTCTATTTAGTTTCAAGCAGTGTTCAAGAAGGTTAACTTCATATAATAAATATCGGTGGATAAATCGTATTTATAATATTATCACGCCAGCTGACTGTGGCCATTTTCGGGCTCAAATCATTCAGGGGAATCCAGACATGGAGGATGAGGATGCGTAAAAACATTCTATGTCCCCTAATGCAATATAGACTCGCAAAGAGTGGACGCAAACTGGCGCCAGCGAGATTCGAAAAACAGCCGTTTAGTCAAAACCCAAGCAGTTAGCCAATTCGCTAGCGAGTTTGCAAATTGGCTGCCCCAATACTTCTGAGACTTGCTGTAAATCGCTGAATCCATTGTTTCGACGTGACGTCACACAACCACGGTTTTCTTCAGACCATGGAAGGTACTAACAGGAGACACGACGCCTCTCATGTGGTCACTCAAGCCTCCTAACTGGCTTATTTCCGTTAGTACCTTCCATGTTCAGACACTCGCTCTACGATTTTGTTTACATTTTGTGGAAGTCATTAAGTATTTTTGGCACAAAGTCAAGTTGACCGGTATAATGAATAGAGACAATATTGTTTAATCGAATTAAACCATTGCTGCTGTACTAGTATTTCATTCATAGTTTTGACATATTTAGACAGGAAATAGTATATACATGGTGTCATGGAAACATACAAAAAACTAAAAACGATGTCATTCAAAAAGTTAATATTTATATATAATTAAAATGTATACGTCACTCAGAGAAGATTACACATTCGCTATTTTAAGTTCTGCTTGGGTCTGTAAATTAGAAAACAATATTACACATCATCGTTCTTTTGTTCGCATTCAGGTCGGGTATTAATTACTTAATCGCCGTATATAATTGCACATTTTATATACCGCAATGTAAATCTAAATAAACTCAACTTAAATAATGATCGCCATTTCAGAAGGTCGTCTCAGAGCCAGACATTACCCAATAAATAGTACATTACCACAATTGAGTCAGTCCATAGACCAACGTAATAAAATGCACGATTAGTACGTAATTGGGTGACATGATATTAATGAATTCACAAAAGTGTGCAACAGGTTATACAAAAACTAAGCGACGCTGCATAGTATTTTCCGGCCCTGCCATATGTTGTTTTTATTCCATGCAGAGACATAAGGCTGCAATCAGGTTCTTCCACTCCTGTCTATCCTTGGCCAACATTTCTGCTCAACTCCAGGTCAGGTTCGCTTGGGCAAGTTCTGTGGTAATGGTTCTTCATGTGGTTTTTGGCCTGCCTGCGTTTCGTTTACCATGCCACTTGGACATATCGGATTTTGTTGCACACCAGCATTTGGATGCATAGACAGATTCTAAGGAAAGTATGTTGCGACTTGCACCTATTAGTTGGTAGTTGAGATATAAATGTTTATCCCATGCACCTGTTATGCAATGGACTTGATCTGTGGATGATCTCAATTAGAAATTATGACATCTCTGAGGATACAACAAAGTTTTGAGGACTTAGCAAGCCTTTTTAAACAACTTGTATTAAAATATGGTGAATAGCGACGTTTCTGTCATGTATCGTAAATTAGACTGAATTACTTCCAAAGTTCCAAATTGAATCGTGCCATTTCATACTGCATGTTGATGAATAAATTGGATTATGATCAACTAAGTTTTTCATAAAAGCTCACGTCTCAAGAGTATTTTTTGATGTAATAACGACAGTATTTAATGCAAGTGTGCAGCAATTGTTTTGGCATATACAATACAGTACAGTACAGTACATTAAAAGTTTCCTATACAGAATACTTAAATAAAACTTTATCACCTCTTCTTTCACAGAATCCATTTGGAAAAGATAGCAATAATTCATAATGTTGCCAGGTGACACTGCTCCATTTCAACCACCATTTCTTTTTTTTCATTTGCTTGATACTTGTTAGATCTTCATAGTTGATCCAGCTCAGCTCTACTTTTGTTGAATTAATTAATAGTATTTCAATTTTCAGACCGAGTGAATCACATGCGACTTTGCTAAATTTATTTGCAGATTCAGATCCCCTCTTCATCTTAGCTTGGAACATTTTAATCTTTTCTTTTAGACTTGACCATTTTCTCCTTCAATTCTACCCATTCTAAGAGTTTACAGTAACACAGCAAATAATGTTTTATCATCACGTTTAAGTTTTGAAAGAGTACAACTCAATGGGACATTCAAACTGGTCATCCAGAAGATCATGACCGTGTGAAATGAGTCTTTGCTTTTCAAAGAAAATCACAGAATAAGGGTCTGTTAAGTTTAAAATAATTAGAGAACAGGGGGGGAAAAAAAGCGATGTTTTGAATAGTTTGTTGAAAATCTATTGTAACCAGTTGTGTGTGCATGCCAATGCAGACTTAAATAAGATATCCAGACTGTAGTAGTTGTTTAAATGCAACAAGAAAGTGATTTCATTTACACTTTTGCACGATATATGTTGTGATTGTGAAAAAGGGACAAAATTTGTATGAAAAACAAACATTAGGAACAAGCATTGTCGGGACAGGAAACAACATTCCTGCTTTCAAACCGAGTTATTTGGCTGTACCAGAATAAACAAAACACTAAACACACAGGTTTCAGTTTCTGGTTTTACTGAAATTGTTAAAAGTGACTGCGAAGATATTTTGCATCAACAGATATAAACAATACATTAGTTGGCAGCAATAACAAAATTGTAAACAAATGATAATTCTTTCCAAAATCTGGGCAGAAATATTTGTTTTTATTGTGAAAACTTGTGATGTTTTTTAACCCCAAGCCAAAGCAAAAAAAAAGTTACTCTTGTTCACCCATGACACTTTACGCGACCCCCCCAAAAGGTCACACATACTGGCACTTTCTGAGAGTACAAATTCTTAACACATTGTAAAATATTATTCTGTACCCCACACCCCTTCTAGAATATGCAACCTTGGAATATTGTGCCTTGCGCTTAATGTATATACTCAAGTAGTAGTAGTATGGGAATTTGTGTAAACTATCATGGTGAAGTGGTAGTACATAATCCACACAACTTGTTTACATGGTGTTATTCGAGACTGCTTCTAATAGAGCAAATACATTACTTCTTTGACTGCGTTAACATGCCATGGTACGTAACAAAACTATCAGAAGTTTTCTTCTTAATCACCTTACAGTTAGGGATCATGTAGCCAGTGTTCTCACTTTTGTATCATTGCCTAATTTTTTGTCTCACATTTTTTACTTACACAAGACAAGTTGTCTAAAAAAAATGGCAAGAAAATACAAGTGACAATACAAGTGTAGAATAACCTGATGGAACAATTCCACTGCACATAATTTAATTTCTAGTGAGAACACTGTAAGCTTCATATTTCAAAGTAAATCTACTGTAAATCTTTCAAGTTATATATAACCCCACGAAAGTCCACCTGGTTCCTTCTCACATGCTACATTTTCATGTCATTTTGATAAAATCTACCCGGGTACTGGACAATCTAAAAATAATTTGAATCATGATTTTAAAAAACAATAAAATAAATACATCTTAGTCAGAATCTTTCTTTTTCTTTTTCTTCTTTTTCTTTTCTGAACTTGGCTGCAATTTAAAATAAAATAAATTTTCAGAAAACAAATTGATTCAGGATGTCAGGAAAAGTTACAAGAGAATATTGAATAGAAAGCAAAAAAGAGGAGATGCTCCATCAACACGACATTCTACTGGTGCAACACCACATGAGGGGGCTGGCTGCAAATCCACATAGCGGCCCAACAGCCAGTACCTGTCATTTTAAACAGGTATAAAATTTCATTTGACAGGCAAAAATTCTACAAATATGTTCTAATTTTGATTGGAAATTACCCATAAAAACATAATCCACAACAAATCTGTGGTTCCAGACTACGGACTGCCATCTTTCGAGTCAATAAATTATTATGAACAGATGCTACTCTATCTTCTAGCTATAATCCTGCCATATAAGTGTAAAAACAAATGCAATATGGTGGTGCTATGAAACAAGGACTTAGACTGGACCAGCTGTGAGTTGTCTCAGTGGAGGTAGTGACTGTCAATTATGATATCATCAACATAGGTAACAGTTTAAATTGATTCATCATCGACAACATCAGTTTTTGTAGGATTGTACAACTTCTAGTTCTCCAAATTTTGCACATTACATATTTGTAAGTAATTTCTCAAATTTTAGCAATGCCACCTTAGTAAAACTATGCTATAAAGGGGAATATATGATTACTTACCGTTTCCACAAGTGATGTTTCTGCTACTGGCGATTCAGCTTCTTTTTGCTTTTGCTTTTTCTTCTTTTCTTTCTTGCCAGGAGTTTCTTCTGCAAAACAACATTTAACATTAAAACTCAAGTACTTGCAAATACCAGTAAGGTCCCACGTTAAAACTGAAACCCAACTACAGGGCGAGGGAGAAACTGATGAATATCAGCAATACATAATCTAATTACAAAATATGCAAGTTTCTTGGTAGCCATTTTATGTATTATGTGGCACTCCAGATTACGACCAAGCTGCTTACTGCACAACACTATAAAGCAAACTACACACAAGATCTCAGTTTAATGAAGACTTGGTCCAGCAATAATCCATTATATCTATGGAATTTGATTAAAGAAACCATTTACCAGCTTGTGTAGGAGTTTCAAATTTGACTTTCTTGGCCGGAGTTTCCTCACTTTCATCCACATCTTTGTCCTTTTTCTTCTTCTTTTTCTTCTTTGGCGTTTCTTCCACTGCTTCTTCGGAGTCTGATGATGATTCTACTGGTTCTGCTTTGACTTTCTTCGCTTTGTGTTTAGATGGTGTTTCTCCTGTGGTATCAACCTCTTCTATTTTTCGTTTTTTGGCTTGTATCGTCGAGTCTAAACCGACACTGTAAGGGGTGACATCACTTTTGCCTTGGTATTTGCCAAATTTGGCCAGCTGTTTTCCAGTACCACTGATTCTCCTCGTCTGTCAGAATACATTTAAAACATTGGAGTCAATGCAAAACTATTTAAAAAGATTGGCTACATAACCCTAATACCTAACAGTCTAACCAATCAGAGCAGCTTGTTTGTTGGAAAGTTTGATGCATCAAATTCACCCTAGTATGTATGTACGTACATACATACGCATATATATACATACATACATGCTTTGACTTGACCGGAACGTTGTCATGGGGATTACCGGTACATATTCCGAGGGGGCAGGAATGAGGCACAGAACCAGCATAAGAGGCAGTTTTGTCATGGTGAATAAATAAATCTGCCGAGCACATGTGACCAAACCAGCATGTACAAGGCTGAAAACAGTTTCAGCACTGATCATACAAGCTAGCAACCTTCCCACAGTGAGATATGGTTGTGTATAAAATAAAGAACCTAAACAAAATATGTTTTTCAAATTTTCACTCCAACTTACAGCAAACAGAGTTTTCGTCAATCTACATATTTTATATTGCAATGCAAGACTTTCACATGAATTGTGAAATAATATTCATTGGATCCAAAATTAACAGAAATAAACTTACTGCTTGCTGTTCAATGGATCGTAACCTGTTTTCAAGTTTAGCTCTGTTTTCTATTCCCATCTCTGAGTTGTCATCTTCACCCAAAGCATCATATCGGATAGCGAGTGACGTCTTTGATGCTAACATACGCGACACCTAGACAGGTAGGAATGGAGAAAACAATGCACATATTACATTACTTCATCAAAAGGAAATACTGAAATTTTAGTTATTTTATGTAATACAACATAATACAGTTGATAAAAATTAACAAGGAAGGGAGGAGGAAGGAATATAACACATGCCAGCTAGAATAGCGAGGAGGCTGTAACCACAGACGAGGACGAGGCAAGGGAGATGCTTATTTCGATTCCCACTTTTGAGCTGTGTTGTCTCAGTGGAGGTAGTGACTCAATTACAATATCATCAACATTAACAGTTTAAATTGATTCATCATCGACAACACAACACAATCATGATTTTAGTTCTTTTAGTTCAGTTGCAATACATTCAGTTTGTAGAAATCAGGTGATAGATGGTTAAATCAACCACATTCGAATACTGACTAGGACTTTGCTTATAATATATATGTACATGTGCCATTTTTGTGACCACCATTATTTTGATTTTTTTTCCCTCTAACTTGAAAACAAAACTTGCATCGCTACATGTTATAATTAAGCCTGGACTAGAAAAATGCAGTTTATTTTAGAAAATTAAAAATTGAATACTACTGTAAAAGGACATTTTCTGAAGGAAAGAATTAGTGAAATTAAATTCCAGTGAAAATACTTTTTTTTATGGTTTACATTCAAAAACTCTGAAAATATACAGAACGACCAAAATGTGTTTTTTTTTCAGTGAAAATTAATTCCAGCTAAAATAAAGTATTTCACATTTCATTACCACTACTTACTTTTCCTTTGTTTTTTGCCGACGTCTGTCCCACCATTGATGCATGGTAAATAAGACCATATTTAGGCGTATCTTTCTTTGTTTTTAATGCTCTGAACAGCGCCTTCTCAGCTCCCAATATCTGTACAGTGGACGAGGGATGCTTTGCAAGATTAAGTAATGAACCTAAAGATAAACATTAACAAATTACATGTCAGGATAACCCTCTTATAACAATCCAATGTTGGTCATTTCTGTAATCATTTATTTTGAAGAGTACTGGTGGGTATGTTTTACACAAACAAACCCAATAAAAGTAACTGAACGTCAAAGACAAACAAAGCGTTACTCGGGAAGCACCAGTTAACAAATCTAGGCCAATTCAAGTGGCCAGCTTTAATTCACAATTCTGCAGTTCATTTTTCTGTTACCATTCACAACAGTTATCAGTCCATGGAAAGTACCTAACAAATTTACCAAGTGGGATTAAACACCATTATACTAATGCAGCAAACACACTTGGTACATCACTCCAAACAATAAAGTTACAGGAGGAACGGAAGTTCAAATTGGTAAATTAGTGATACCTCACTCCAAACAATTTACAATTAATACACTAAATCAGGCTGACAAAATTTACCTGCATGTGCTATGAGTCTTGCACCGACCAATTCACCAACCATTATTGTCAAGTTAGGTGCTATGGCAGTCATTCTGTTTTTGAGGTAGTCGTACAGCTGTGCTCTGTAATTGGAAATTTCTATAATCTGAAAGAAAAATTAAATTACTATTATTTGATTCATCTTGCTACGACAATTATAGTCTGCCCAATCTTGGTACAGTTGATTTTGAGCAAAAATTTAAATTTAATGAAACAATATGATTTTGAATAGGACTCTTTGTGACAGGTTACAAAGGTTAGCAATGGTGGTGAGAGTTTAAAGCTCACCTGTTCACTAAGATACAAAATATTAGTGATATCCTCTTCTGACACTTCAGTGCCCATGGAAATTTCAGCCGCCTGTTTGACTTGTTCTTCTATTTCTTCTGGTAACATTTCTGAGAGGTCAGTACTGGAAGTATTCACACGGTCACCTAAAAATTATTATGTTAAAAGTTAGCCATCTGAAACTCGTTTTATGCCATCTGAATATCTCATAAATCGGTACAATTACCTAATACTGCTAACACCAGGATGACAGAACACATCAGAACAATTTGTATACATGTAAAGCAAAACATGTCATTTTGGTGCGCCCTCTGGTGGTACTAATTGAAATATCTTTTGTTTTAAAATAACTACATCTAGAAAAAAACTTAGATCTATAACGGAGCTTCGTATCCGAATTGCATTTTGTATGATACATTTCAACTCACCAATTTTCTTGATAGTTTTGGCAAAAGCTATGTTGTCAGTGACAATTTTCCCTAACTCTGGGAAGTGCCATCCATACCATTCACGAACCCTCATTATGTAATTATTCAATTCTTTATCTAGATCATCCAATAGAGCTGTGAAAACAAAAGTATAATTCATTATTTGAAAAAATTCATGCTATAAACTGGAAACTTTTACAGTTATAGTTGAGTAATGATTTTCATGTCCTATTTGTAATTTTTTTGAAAGGGTGGTGGTTATCAAAAATACATACATACAAAAAATTCAAACGCGCGACGTGACGACCACCACTCTTACCAGTAAATCAATAATACAATCTGGTTAAAAAAAATATATTTATGCCAGAGGTAGCTTGTAAGCATGGTCTGCCCTCATGTTGACAATATCTAGTCAGAGAAAAACTGTCTGAACACAACTTCCGAAATAATTTGGTCAGACATAGTTACACCAGCAGCTGTATATTAAAGAAAGCAGAGCCTTCATTGATTTTAATCAGATTGCTCCAAGACCAGCTGCAAATTTTGACCTTTTCCCTCTTAGAAGCAACTATTACATGAATTAGATTGTCTCAGACGTTGATATTAATCTCATCAGAGGCATCAGACGAGAGGTGTAAGGTTTGTCATCACAGACTTCATGACAGCCTAACTAACATCAGAACACTGCTCATTTACTGCTTAATACATCCAGTTCATAGCAACTACAGATAGCAAAACCTTGAAATACAATACAGTACTTACAGATTGCCTGCACAATCATGGTGTCCACTTTATCTGGACTGAACTTCAACTTGTACCTTGATAAACTATTGAAAGAAAAAGATGGCACTGAGCATGTATAAACCAATTTTCATTAATAATTTTCTATGACCAAAATTAGTAACAACTCGTCTTGGAAACACAAAATGCATCTCAAAACAAGACAGCAACACTTACCTATGTGCCAAACCCAAGGAGAAAGCACTGATTTCTTTCTCTGGTAACCCAGTTATCAAATTTGTCATCTGTGCTCGTATACCTCTCATCAGTTCGTGTATTGATGAGTTGCAAACACAACTAATGTTGAATTTTTCCTATTAACAAATAAAACAAAATTGTATTAAAGAATTAAAATATTTTTTTTGCTTGATGAAGTTCATTATCAATGACAAGCTAGACATAAAATGCTGTATTTGCTCTATTAGCAGCACCATAATTACAAATTATGATTAAAATAAATAATATTTGAATGATTCAGAATACTGTAGAATACTTTATTTTCGCTTGGAATTTATTTTTGCTATTTTCACTGAGGAAATAATTCTGTGAAAATAAAACCCAGTGAAAATACTTTTTCTCCTATATTTCACATTAAACTCATCAAATAACAGTAAAAATAAATTCCATACAAAATGCCCAAAAAGCCTTTTCAGCGAAAATAAAGTATTCCACAGTATAACAATTCCAATTTTGATTTATTGAATACATGCTTCTAATAAAGCAATTATGGTAGCAATATTTATTTTTACTTAATGTATTTTATTATTATACATCTGTCACCGTAACGCCATACGTTACAGCGTGTCAATTTGGCGGTATTGCATTGGGTATTTTAATCCTACCATATTGGGAAACGAAAATTCCAAATACGAAAGGATTTTGCGCATAAGCGTCTTTTAAGATTAAAAAAATAGTGCCCCCAGGGTTTGATCAAACTCAAAACAATGAAGTTCGTTAAATCTGTTATAAACATTTTAGATATATTCCTGGAAGGAAAAGATGTATAATAAGGTTATTACGAGGATACTGCAAAGTATGCACTCAAGACAGTACGCGGTCGCATCAACCTCCGCTGCGTGTCTGTCGATACTCCCACTGTACTGTCTTCATGCATACTTTGCATTATCTTCGTAATAACCTCATATTATTTGATTTATATTCTTCAGAAATAAATTCCAAGTGATATTAAAGTCATTTACAACATTCCATTCATTCACTTGTTCTAATTACTGTTTTACCGATGCGACAGACCTACCTTAATAACATTTCCTAATTTAGCATCAGCCACTGCTAGTTCTGCATGTGCATCCTTGGCAACTATTTTTTTCAACATTTTCTTCAAACTCTTACTCATTTTACCCTCAATGGTTGCAGTGGCAGCTGTAGATAAAAGAACAGTTTCACCAACTTTAGATCATAATTAAGTACTTAAATCTGAATCACGACATGACACATTTTGTGTAAAAGTATCCAGATAGGAAAATACATGTTTTATTATACACTATGTATTACCAAGTAATACCACAACGAACCATTCGTGTGTTTCTATGTCGTGTATTTTTGTCCAAATACATCATAATCAACTATTTTGTTGCCTTTGTTCATAATTATTTTTTAACATCCAGGATAATCCTCAAAGTATCCATTTGATATCACACCAAGTAAACGTTTGACAAACTCTAAACAAGCCTGCAGTGCTACTAATGCCATATAACGCTACATGCAGTAACAAACTACAAATTGTCTATTAGAATTATGGCGCTGGAACCACATTTCTGATCACAATGGTCGCTTGTCAGCCATTTTGAATTAGATCCTTAGAACAAAATATTGCGCAGCATGGGTCCCACATTTGTGTACTAAATCTGATGATACATTGAACGCATGTTAAAATTGGTGGTATGTTTTTGTTCCTAGCAATACCCCTACATAGCATTGATAACATGTACTCTAAGTCTACAATCTATTACATTGTCTCAGACATCAAGATTGTTCTCATCAGAGTCATCAGACGAGAGGTGTAAGGTTTGTCATCACAGACAGGTAACATGACTGCCACCCCAACCCAGAAAACAAAAACAACTGCATGTCGGCTAATTTGAGCCAGATTACTGAATCAAATGACAAGCGATGTTGTATGCAAGTACCATATATGTACACAATTTTATATGTTGCTACCTACCAGCAAGTGCATCTGTGGTGTCTTTGAATTTTTCAAACTGTTTCAACTTGACACTGAAATAAAATTGAATGATAAGTAATTCTCAGGATTAATTGTAAATAGCACTTATCCTTAAAATTGATATTATCTTCTAATCGAGTGAATTCAACAGTCTGGGAGACAAATCTAAGTCACGAAGTAGAGAACCTCTCGATACAGTGGGGTCAAACCAACATCAAACTAATAATGGGAGTCTCCGACACATTTAATGTAAATAGAAAATCACGATGCAATTGGCTTAATTACTTCATTCAATCATACAACTTGCTAAATAACAAATGGCAAAGTTATCCAAACAATTAAATAGTCTGAAATGTCAGGACACAGATGCTGATGTTAGTGATAATGCTCATAAATGAACACACTGGAAAAAATGGTTCGAACAAACCAGTTCTAATCATGTCAGAGACGAGCCCTGCGTACAGTGCTGTGTGTACGGGGACGCGTTCGGTTGATAGATGTCCCCCCACAGCCCTGCGTACCCCCCATAATAATAATAAGTTAATAATAAGTAGTTTCCCAGTCGAAATCTGTTGAAATGACGATAGTTATCCGTAACAACCATTACAAAGTTATCTGAAACTGAAATGTCTTTAAAAAACGACTAGTAAAGACGGACAAATAGTAAACGTGTAGGTACTTGAGGAATTATTCACTAAACTCTGCCATTTTTAATTTCATTCACGTGATAGAATGCGTTTGTTTTTAGGGCAAAGTAGCCGATTTCATCCACAACCGG